CTTGCAAGAAGAAGCAATAAAAAAAGTTTCGTGATTGCTGTGATATAGGTCGCGCTTGCTTTTCCATGCAGGCATTAGTCTACGGCGTTTCTTGTCGAACGGGGTAGCTGAAGCGGTAAAGCATCAGACTCTAAGTTTAGAGATCACTGACTAAAAACCCGTGTTACTACAAAAATACATAGAAACCTCTTAGAACGAAGGAAGCATGGGATTGCGCGCTTCTGCAGCCACGTTCTGGATGTTACCTAGATTGTTTTTCCTAATCTGGCTGATGCGGTTGACACGGACATATCGGTGTAACGCTATTACGTCATAAGAGAATAACGCCATAAATGGCGCTCGTCATGAGAGCTCAAGGGAGATCGCCTTCCCAATCGTGACAGATATCGATATTTTCTATTCTCTCATAAATCTGTCTTGCGGTTTCGGCCTCTGTTTCAAATGCTGTGCTATCGACCAGAAGTAAGTTTTTACGGCAATGTACAGCTTATCGTCCAGTACTGCTGGTACTCTGCGTCTGCTGTCTGCTTTTTAAGTTTTGTGACATTTCACCTACGTAGAATTGACGAAAAACGAACGAGCATGTTTTCAGTTTTAACTTCAGTTTAAACTTCAGTAATCAGTACTTAGGTACATTAAAAGTTATAGGCGATTCAGCAACAAGGGATTACGCAACTACATTCGAACTGACCTGTCATGATTTGCCCTTCATATTACTTATTGCCAGCCTGTCCAGCTAAATCGCTAGACTCTGAGAGCAAAAACAGTTCCTTTTCAGTGTGTCTTCATAGCCACTTGAAGCCAGCGTTCGCTTTTGTCCTTCCTGCACTTTTCGAGCATTTGTGGTTGATAATACTAAGCATGCTGTTGATCTAATTCACTCTCCCTCCTGACTACTTCATCTTTCCGTGGTTTTGATATTTCAGTTATTTTTCAGTCTTTCTAGAGGAAAAGAAGCTGACGTGGAAGTTCCTGAACAGCCTGCCAAAATCAAAGTGGGAACAAGCAGTAATGGATCTCCGAACGAAGAGGGGGTACTCAGCGTAAGTGCATTGTCGAAGTTTAATGTTTTTGTTAACGTTGGTAGGGTGCTGCCTTTTCTCGCTATTCTTGCGTTATTTTTACAAACACAGCGGTGAGTTTCACTGGTTTGCTTTTATCTGGTTAGGCTAGTTTTTGATTACGTGCAAACATGGGCGGGGGGGGCGTGCCATTTTCTAGTTGGAGTGAATGCTTCACAAGCTCGATCGACAGCCAGCGTAGCTACACGCGAACAGTGTCTTGCCCATTGTTTTTCACTGGTATGGTCGCTTAGGTAGGATGGGCAGCTGACATATTCCTTGCCTTTTTCATTCTGAAAGTGTCGGAGTTTGCATCAATTTCATCTGCGTAGGTGCAGTAAAAGCTGAAAAGCGAGCTGGGCGTATGCTAGTTCATCCGTATGTACACTTTCTTGGGAATCAAGAGCAGATCTCCAGTGAACATTCCAGATCTTTGGGCATGAGTCGAAACAGGCATAATCTGTAAAACCGAAATGTCAACTACAAGCGAAGACAACCACTAGCCTTGTCAAGTGACAAGTAACAGGAGGGGTCGAACGACCGATGAAAAACATCTAACACCTTCCAGATTGGACTCTGTCCATAATTTCACGTTCAACACTGTCTAGTTTTGTATGTGATCCCGAAGATGTTACTAGTTGTCAGGACAAAACGCATCAGTGAAGAATGAGCGATCGCTGTTTTGCGGGTGCTTTTTTGCTGTTGAGCTGAAACTATCATCATCGTCATCGTTGGAAGAAGGCCTTTTCAAGACTGCCATAGGATTCTGTTATCCGCCAGTTTCATCTCTCTTGACCCAGCAGACTTTTTCGGTTCATCCTGCCATTTATCTGGGCCTCTTCCTACTCCTAAGCCATTTATTTTCTTTCTTTTTCTCTTCTCTCTGTCTCTCAGAACCCACTCTAATATCTTTCTGGTTCAGCGACATTCGGTTCTTCTTGCAAATTGTTCTACCAATTGTCACTTTAACATTGTCACTCTACCCGGACAGAGAAATCGCAGCATCTTGTTTGCACATTAATCCATTCATTCATCTTCCGTCTTCCTTCAGCCCCTGATCTTCCAAACGAAGTGTCTTTACATCTTTTTTGAGCAGCTGTTAACGACTTCGATGGTACGGAATCACCCTGTTTATCGCCCTTCTTGATTTCGAACTTGCCTCTGCTTTCATTAAGCTTCACACTAGCAGTTGCATTCTTGTGCATCATGGTGATCAGGTTTATATATCCTTTCTCGATGCCCTGGCTCGTCTAGCAATCCAATTCAGAACGGGTGTACCCTAAGTGGAAAGCCTTCTCGAAAATCGACGAACCCAAGGCAAAGAGGAAGATGTTGTTTGTTGCTTATTTAAATGACTTTTTTACCACCAGGAGATGATCCATCTCAGTGAATCCGCCTCTAAACGCAGCCTGCTCCTTTAGCTATACAGCGTCCAGTTTTTCTTGAAGTCTGTTCCTTAGTACCCTCATCTGCAGTTGTATCGTATCGGCGTTAACAAACCGTAGCAGCTGGTCCGTAACCCGGGTATTCTTAGCACCCTTTACTTTCATGCCTAACCGGCCGGTCCCTTCGCCGGTGACAGTTCAGCCTCTGCGAAATGTTGGCCATGGTTTTATCTTAGAAGATTCAGCCGTAGCTCACCACCCCGGCCATTCGGGTTGGCGACTGTTGCTTCTTTCACTTGGCCGGGTATATATCTCGAGGTTTTGCTCTACTTGCCGTAACCTAACACTTCGGTCGTACATCGTTTTGAGAACTTGTTGTCACATTCGTACCACTCTGAGATAGTGGATTTAGGATTTACGATGGAGTTCAAACTATAAAATCAGCAGATTCAAGATTTCTGCCCTGTCTGTCCTGTATTGGTTTCTTTTGTTTTTCCTTCAGGTCTCCAAGTTCATTGGAAATCGGTTTTGTTTACACGAATGTTGCATTGAGTCAGTTGTCTTTTCGCCTTTGACCGGTATCATGTTTTTCAGATCATGCATGCCTTTATATTTGCAGTGTTTGATGTTGACAGGTCAACCTGCTGAAGCGTTTCTTGGCCCCCACCTTTTTGAGTGACCACGAAAATAGATACCGCCCGCAAATATTTTTTGCGAAAATTTCCATTCGCTTTTTCCCTGGTCCTATCGATAAACTCATTCTTCGTTTTTTGCTGTTTTACTGATGGGTATAAACGTTGCGCTCTTGTTCTCTGCGCAGTGCGCTAATCTCTTGCTGATGGTTCCAACCTGGACCCAAGTCTGTGTATGGTGCAAGTCCTGAACGGTGACAAGTTTCTAGACGCGTCCAGCATCTGTCTTTGGATTGATTGGGGTCGGCCTTCAAGTGTAGAGATAGAACAGTTCGAAACGAATGACAGTGATGAAGGTTTTGTTCGCAGCTACCTGTCATTCGAAGCTGGAAAACGATAACTTACAAACAAAAGTAGGGAAATGAAACAATCAAGTGTACAGCTGTTTTTCTCTGTTCCTTTCTATTCACCCCGCTTTTGGGTAGTGCCCGTGCTGTTTGAAATGACGTTCTGAATTTTACGGCTTCATGTTTTATGGAATTGAATAACCGAAAATTCGTTTTCATTCTGCGCCACACACTTAATAAATTGATTTTTTGGAGGCAGTGGTAGTCTGGCGAGACATGATTAAGAACCCTTTACCACGTTCAGCGTTTCGATTTTACACAACGATCTTCAGGTAGAAAACACTCGTTCTGTAGACGAAATTTACGCACAGCACAGAATACTAATGAGCGGGTTCGTGAATCCGTACAGTAGTTCCGACGTCTGCGGCATATTGCACGAAACGTTGCAGTTATCCCGTAGACATTACTCTTTCCGATGCTCAGCGATTCTTTGACCTTATCTGATGAACGTACGAATATGTAGTAGGGAGGTATGCTCTTGGACTGAGTGCCTTATAAAACGTTTCAGTATAGTGAATTAGTGATTTGTAGAAATCTATTTTTCTTATGAATTGCAGTAATATAACCGCAATAGTTGTAATAGCGTAATTCAGGAGGCTGAAAGTTCAGATCGGTTAACTCCGGAGGCCCATCGCAAATAATCATACTGAGAAGCCTGATTTCATTGTCCACGTCTTAGAAGTTATCCATTCATTGCAGTAGCATATGGCAGAATTTCTGTGATTGTGCGTGTCATACTACAGCCAAAAACGCTAGTCAGTTTCTTTCGATTAGTTTCAAAGTTTTCAGCCGTTAGTTTTGTATGACAAGAAAGTTGATCATGGCCTTAAACTGCGTTTACTTGTAGGGTGTACGGAGTATATAATTTCATTAAGCCTGTTTTATTCTTCTTCGGGTTTTAACACGATCGTGGACACAGTGACGTTTGCAACCCATGGCCCGAACCACCCTATGAACGTAGTACCTAACGTATTTACTTCAAGATTCAGAAAGCAGTTGTTCAAATAATTGTTATATCTGACTTCAGTAATGCAACATAAGGCAGTAACTGGCGTCTAAGTTGTTTCATCTGTTTCGTTATTCATAAAATTTATTGCATCAGCAGTGGATGATATTTTAGTTGATGCCGTTTCTCTTGTGTAGTTTCTTGAAAGAACGTCTCTGCATTTAAGTATTGCTAGTTTTTATTAGACAAGAATTTTCTTCTTAAGCCGCATTATAGAAGTTTCTTATATCTGATAGTGTAATCTTGGCTTTCTTATGAGAATAGTCTGTTGGCGTCATAAATCTTATCTAGATTATTCCAGCCTCGTTTTGGAAATATATTGCAAGATAGCAAGAATTGGATGGCAGATTTGGCATGGTACAGAATGGAATGAGATTTTCTTACTCTTGGAAACGTTCAGTTATATGAGAAATTCATCAAATAGTCATAGTGAGCTTGTCAGCTTTGGAGCCAACAGGAACCATCCGAAAGACACTTTGAACGAATTTATGTAAACTATTATCTTGGCTGTTTTTCCTTTAGAAATTTGCAAACATTTGAGATTCGGAGATTCCAAGCACGCTAATCCGCAGATTTTTATTTTTATCGGCGATATTGAAAACTAGCAGTTTGATGACAAGCCCATAATACCGGGGTTTGTTTTTGTTATTCGAACTACTGTTTTAACTCTGTTACGCTGTTCCTGCAGGCGGGAGCTCATCCCGTCACATTTGTAATTACGTTGGTAAAGGTGAAGGAACAGGTGTCTTTGGATGGCGAAATGAGTCCGAGTTCTGTTTTCTACGACATGCACAAAAACTATTATATCGGTGTTAAAGATGTTGACTTCCGAACAGTTGTTTCTTCCGTACGTTCATCTACACAGGAAGATTTGTCCGACCTTGACGAACTGAAGGCATTGATGTAATTAACCTTTCCGACGTAATCTCTGCCGTAGTGGTT